GTCCGATGTGACGCCAAGCCATGTCCCTGAAATATACAAGACCTCTGTGCTGGATTATGACCCTCACACATTATGTTTCAAAGCAGAAGACTCAGTTCATAACACTGTCACGCGTTTAGCTCCAGGCCTCAGTGCCATCTTCACAACACAACAGCTGGCGCTCCCTAACTGTGTGTGTTGTGATATATAGGGTTCTATAGGTCCCCTCCCCCCAACGGCTCCAAGTAATCCCTTTGTATATGGTTTTAACAAGAATTAGAATTAATTCATGAATTCTCATAATGAACCGTGTGGCTGAACTTTTATAAACAATTAGACAACCGTTTTTCCCCTTTCAGGGGTCACCTTTGATATAAATACAGATCACGTGTTTGTCAGAAGACCACACAATGCATCTATAGGAATATCCAAAACCAGGGGAAGCTAATCTCTCAAAGGTGCAGGAGGAAAATGAACGAGCCGATACAGGAAGTGGGTGGTTGCTCTTACCGGAGGATGCCCACCTCAGCTGGACATGGAAATAGTTTCTAGTATCATGGCATGCAGAAGGAAGGTTTCAGAAGATGTGCAGCAAGCCACAGAAAATTTTTTTCCTGTGTTAAAAAAAATCTTGTGCCAACATCAGCTCCTGCACCTAGAAAGCTAGCATGTCAAGGAGCAAGCTAGGAAGGATCTCTTTTAGGTAGCACCAGGACATCAGCTCTTCAACCTAGAAAGCTAGCATGTCAAGGAGCAAGTTAGGAATGATCTCCTATAGGAAGCATCAGGACATCAGCTCCTGCACCTAGAAAGCTAGCATGTCAAGGAGCAAGTTAGGAATGATCTATGGGAAGCATCAGGACATCAGCGCCTACATCTAGAAAACTAGCATGTCAAGGAAAAAGTTAGGAATGATCTCTTATAGGAAGAATCAGGAAATCAGCTCCTACATCTAGAAAGCTAGCATGTCAAGGAGAAAGTTAGGCTCCTCTCCTTCACATCCCAGTTTTTGTATGCTCTCAGCATGTTTTTCTATGGCAGATTTTTTGGTGTCATCATCCAACCTCTCCTAGGTTGCCTTATTCAAAGGGAGCAAAGCTTCTCTGGCAGCTAAGTTGTGTGTGAGTATTAAGGTGTGATAGTACTCAGCATTTCTTGTCTGTTGGATCTGTGCACAGTGGTGGTATTGCAAATTTGTGGGTTTTTTTTTTTTTTTTTTTCAAAACCCAAAATTTTGAAAGCTGGAAAGTCTCTTGTGGGAGATGCAATATTTTGCACAAAACATAAACGGTTTTTGAGCAGGTATTATCAAGATGTTTTAAACTATTATTCCAATGGGTGCCCTTCAGAGATCTTGGACTACAAGTCCCATCAGCCTGGAAACTGGTCAGGGATTATGGGGTATTTAGTCCACCACACGTGCAGGGCCCCGCTTTGGTGAAGGTTGCTGTTGTCAAGTTGCCCCCGACTTATAGCGATCCCAGGAATGAGCAATCTTCAAAATGTGCTCTCCTGAACTTTCTAAGCGGTGACTCCCATTCTTCTGCCCTATTTCTGAACTTTATTTTCTTTTTAAAACAATCTTTTGAGGCAAATAAAGCAGGGGAACCAGAACTTTTGTGGGCTCTTTAAGAATGACTGAGTTTTATTTTTCATAAGCTTTTGTGCATCCAGGTTTATTATCTGTGCCTGGACACACAAAAGGTTATGAAAGATAAAAGCAAGTTAGTCTTCAAGGTCTTACAAGATTCCTGGGTTCTCTTTTGCTACAAACAGACTAAAACAGCTACCAGCTATTTAAAGAAGGGCTGTTTGGAAATGAATCAGAAGGCACAAGAATACCCCGAGATAAGTCATTCCTCACAGCAGATTAAGAAATGACACCTTTCCTCCAAATCAAGGTGCAGAAGGCACCCAAAGCCAAGCCGTCTGTTGGGGCACATAAGGTAGGACACCTAAGAAACCTTTCTCCCCATTCTTGTTGGCCAGGATGCAATAAATACAATTTAAGTCATTCACAAATTACTGCCCTCTCAGGACTTTAAATCTGTTTGAGGCAATGGCCTTGCTCTGTCTTGTGGTAAAGCTGTGAAAGAGGGTGTGTGTGATCTCTTTGAAGCTCTATCTCTGTCCGCAACACTCATGTATTCCCACATCTGTGACCCTCCCAAAATGTCTGGTAGGTCCATAAAGCCTTCCTAGGCAGCCACAAACGTGAGGTTGCAAACCACACTTGCTGGCTCTTGAGTCCAGCAGTTCTTCTGCCCCCTTTTGAAACTGATTTTTCTTTCTCACTATTCCTTGTCTTTGCATCCCAAACTGGATTCTAGTTGCCCCTTTGATCCCCTGGATTATGGGATGCATCTCACCTGCGACTAGTGAGCATTATCTTGCTCCACTATCTGTGAAGCTTCTCAGTCATCCAGGTGAGGTTATCTGGAACTTGAGTCATGGCAACTGGACTTTTTTCTTATGGATGAAACATTTCACTACTCATCCTAGTAGCCTCTTCTATCTGAGGAGAGTTGGTGGGGTTTTCATTCATCCCCTTGTCCTTTGTCCATCTAAGGAGCCTATTCAGACCAGGGGGAAGTGGAACCAACGTGGAGGGTCTATCAGGGGTCTCCTACCAACTCTCCTCAGACAGAAGAAGCTACTTGGATGAGTAGCGAAACCTTTCAACCCAATAAGAAAGAAGTCCGGTTGCCATGACCCAACTTCCAGATATCCTGCTCAAGGTTTGGGAGTGAATCGGATGGTCAGACTTACTGAATGAATGGGAGTTTGAAAATCAACACTATCTGTTGAGTCAGTGGGTTTCCTCTTGTAGGTATTAAAATGCCAATTCAGCCCTCGGATGCCGCAGCTAGTGTTGTTGGCCAGAAGCTGACTCCAGTGCATGCAGCAGCACATACCCAAAGTTCGGCGGGTAGCTACCAAAGGCAGAGCTTTTTTCATTGACTACTACGGGCTGGAATAGTTGGTGGCAAACATCAAGTTGAATGACAGGACCTGGCAGCTATCAGCGGTTAAAGGGCTGTGTGGTAAAAGGCAAGTACTTAAGAGAAGCTGATAATAAAACAGAAGATCATCTAACAGATCATGCTACTCTTCATTCAATAGTCAGGGAATTGCTGCAGTCTAATTTTGATGTCAACATTCAGATTGTGGCATTTCAATAATTTTCTTGCATTGTGATCTCTCTGGTCAACATTTTATTTCACTTCGGATTGAGCCACTTGAGACAAGCCAATAAATATTTCTGAAATGAAACTGTGTTTCTCTCTTGTTTTGTGTCACCAAGCTTTCCACTACCAAACAAAAAACAAAACACACAAGTCCCAAACACAAACATGTGCACACACACATGCAGGAACCTCCCGTTTCCCATAGAAAATTATTTCCTGAACTTTTTTTAAAAAGTTCATCTCTTTCTGAGGCTCTGATGGGCATCTCATCTCCTCAGTTCTGTCTCTGATTTTCAGTACAAAATCGGGAATACATTTCAAGACCGTCTCACTTGTTTTTCTCAATGCAGTCTCTTATGTCTGCTTTGACGACGAGTATCAGGCAAAATCCAAAGAGGAAAAAAGGTCTAACAATTAAAATAAAAAAGGCAAAAACCTTGTGGCACCTTAAAGACTATTATAGTTTAATGTGAGTGTTCACGGATCAAGTCCAGTTCTTCTTCTTTATGGAATAAGATAAAATACAGAGTTCACAAGTAAAACATTCGTTGGTTTTAAGAGTCTGGGATTTATGGTTGCATCTCCTGTACAGTAATTTATGACCGATTTTTGGTGTTCAGTTCTATTGTAAACATTCCCACAGGAAACAGAAAAGATATAACCAGGCAAAAAAGAGAAGGGAAGGGAAGGGTCAATGTAATAAGTGCAGTGAGACTTAAATTAAGCAGCCCTCCCCAACAGTCTTCCCTCCAGATATGTTGGATTACAATCCCCATAATCCCCACAGAATGGATTATGGGAGTTGTAGTCCTCGTCTGGAGAAGACTTGCCACAAAT